CACACTACACAGACAATAATTCAAGTGTACATATGAAAGTAAATTAGGTCAACTCATAAATCGTCTGTAATCAACGAAAGCAGATAGCAAAAAATACATACAATGTCCTTCTGTGTAGGTGCTAGTGAACAGTAACGGTTATGGCATGTTTTGATTGATGTGTAGCCTGCAAATATGAACAAACTTTGAGACAACCAACACAAATTGTATCCAAGTGCTAAAATCAACACGACATAAAGTGTTGTGATCTCTTCCAAGCAAACAGTTCAACATTGCAGTGCCATCCCGGTCACAAAAGTTAAGAAAATAGTTTATATGTAGCACTGAAGAAAGTTTATCGCACATCTGATTTCCCTGTTGTATGAGTCCTCCACAGTCAATGATGACATGTTTTGTACAGTCCGGTACTATGGTGTGGCATAATTAAACTATGAACCAACACACATCGTGAACATGCACACACTATGGACATGCACACGAGCACACACCTTGAACATACACACAGACACAAACACCACAGTCAAACACACATAAATACACACACAGACACGCACACACACGCACACACACTTACCACAGACAACCACACATACACACACGCCGCAGACAAGCAAACACACAAACACACACACCACAGAAAAAACATACATCGATCCATCCATCCACACACACACACACACACACACACACACACACACACACACACACACACACACACACACACACACACACACACACACACACAAATATACAGACAGACAGACACACCACAGACAAACACACATACATACACACACCACAGACAAATATACACACACACCACAGGCAAACACACACTACACAAACATAAACACACCACTGACAAATATAAACACACCAAAGGCAAAAGATTTAAACATATTTTATTGCGGAAAACCAAATGGATTAGGCACAAGTGACACACTTACGAGGCCTTCTCCTATATACATTTCATTACATTGTGGTATGTGAATTCTGTGGTGCAGAATAAATGTACAGTGCATAGGAATTACAAGTAATGAGAAAATATATACATATATTCATATATATACAGTATTACACACAAACACATATAGCTACATACACTCACACATACATCTACATATATACATATGATGAATTTACATTTTTGGAAAACAATGGTACATGATATGTTTATAAAATAACACAGTATTTGATAAACTAAACTACATGTAATAGACATTTTAAATTTATGTGAAGGGCGGGAAATCTATAATGTAACTAAGCTTTGATAGTTACAGTGAATGCTATTGTTTTACATCAAAATCAGAGTGTTGAAACAACCATGTAATATATGTGCCAGTCACATCCAGATAATTTGAAAGTAGCTCGTGAAATATAATTCTCGTTATTATTCTTGTTGTATTAGGATCAATACACACTACACAAACATACACACCCACCACAGACAAATATACACACACACCACAGACAAATATACATACAGACAGACACACCACAGACAAACACACATACATACACACACCACAGACAAACACACACACCACAGACAAATATACACACACACCACAGGCAAACACACACTACACAAACATACACACACCACAGGCACATATATACAATACACACACCATTGGCAAAAACACACTACACAAACATACACACACCACAGACAAATATACACACACACCGCAGGCTACACGCATTACACAAACATACACACACCACTGACAAACACACATACATATACACACACCACACACACACACACTACACAAATACACACACACACAAACACCACAAAAATACACACACCACTGATAAACACACACACCACAGACACACGCACACACAGACACACACCACACAAACACCCTCACACCAGACACACGCAGACGCATTGAACATGAACACACACATATCTTGAACATGAACACACACACATGGTGGACATACACACAAGGACAGACTCACACACCATAGTCAAGCCAAATATTTTATCAGCTGCAGTATATTTCAAAAACTGTCACTCATCGTTGTTTACTTGACAGTTACTGGATGCACCAAATCGTAGCATTAAAATATAAGATCTATGTTTATGTTACAAATGTTCATTTTTTTCACAACTTGCATATAGAATATCAAATGTGGATCGAATTTCCTGTCTTGGGCAGGGGGTGTTATTTGTGTCATTTGTGCACAGCTGCTGATATTAGATTAAGGTAACCAAATGTTTCACCAGAAACTTCAACAGTAACGTAAAATAAAAAAATTATAAAAAATTCTGAATATAATATAATAATAATTGTGTAATAATTTCAGACTTGCTGTTGAACTGTGGTGTCACAACAACATCCCATATAATGAACGTGTCTGCACTTTCTGTTTTTCGAAGGGACATAACCATGTTGAAGATGAATTCCATGTTGTTATGATTTGTGACCAGTTTTCTAGAGCAAGGAGAAACTCTTTTCCCAAGCGTCTCGTTACCCCTCCCTCTATTGAGAATTTTATAAGACTTGTGTCAGCTGAAAACAAACAAATTATAAAAAAGGTAAATTTCTCTTCCAAGTCATGAACATTCGAACGGAATTAAAAGTGTTGAACGGTAAATCATTATTAAATCTACTCAACATGCAAATATATATACAGTATATTTTCACTGTATTATGGGCCGGTGGCCTGAAGTACCGAATAAATTTGTCTGTCTGTCTGTCTGTCATTTCATGTACATGAGTGCTCAGACTCATTTTATAACAACGGTAAAATTACAAAGTATCGCTGGTTGCATGATCATCAAAACTATTCTATGTACAAGGTGTTAAACCGACCAAAGTGCTGCCCCAAATGGCTTTCACTTGAAATTATCTGTGGCTCATAGAGCATAACTGGTGATATTAAAGAACTTTACGTCTCTCGGTGGAAGGCCATGTGTCGTGCTGTTTACTTGATGGTTGTTGATATTTTTTTTAAACATCCAAAAATTACACAGCATCTTATTGTCATGACTTAATGGGTGTGTATACACAATGTCCTCCATCAATGGTGAATTCATACGGCCGTAGTAGTGACACGTGTCCATTTGTTGGTCAAGGTAATGAAATGAGACCGTTAATAACTCATGGACGCCAAATAAACCCTACTGCGTGCCCGAACATTGTCCAACCCAACCATTGCCAGAAATCGAGGCAGTGCGCAGCGCAGACGGCAAAAGCTGCACGTCCAGCAAGAAACGTAACCGTTGGTCAGATGTAACCTGTACGCTCATTGGTCAGCAAGCACGCACTGGCTTCCCTCTCGCTGGAACTAGGACTTTGCCTGATTCGTTGGTTTTGATAGCACCTATCGCAAAGCCGCCCTATGTAATAAAGAATTGACTTTCACTTTGTGTGAGATCATTCGAGTATGAACCTTCATTGAGTGAGGGCCAAACTGTATGAAATGTCGGAGCTTGCGAAAATAAATTCTTATAATAATAAATCACTTCCTCGAAGGATGTAGATCAACATCTATGCATAATTTTACTTAGTACGTGTGACTTCATGTTTACACTGACAGCCATACAACAACCAGCTGTATCGCGGAATAAAATAGTTCCTCAAAGTGAGTGAGTGAATAGTTATAGTCACACTTCAGCCGTATCGAGACTAAATCAAGTTAAACAGTAATAATACATACATTTAGATTATAAAACCAGTCGTCAATGGAGAGTAAAACAAGTAGATTATCACAGATTTATAATTTAAAACTAGTATGGAACTATAGAAGGTTATCACTGTAAATAACAATACATTACAAAAACGGGCTAGAGATAGTTCCTCATAAGGAGATGTGACAAGAGGGTATGTATGCTTACATTGTTCTACAGTGACATATTTTGTAGTTTGTTCACAACAAATATATTCCAATAATATCATTAGATGAGAAAGGTATGTTACGAACTACCCGGAGTAAGTAAGTCCCAATGACAGCGCGTCGTAATACATTCACGTCAAGACGTCAAAATGGCCGAAGTTGTTAACGAACCTGTGTCAATTACAAGTGTCCGTCATCATTCATCTACTGGCCGATCATTGAAAGGTGATTACAAAGAGGTGTTAAATAAATGCTATGTTAAATTCATGGATTGCTGTAGACTGTCACAAGACACGGATCGGGTAGTACGACGATAGCTTGAATGTGCATTTCTTCGGGTTTGTTCACTAGGTTGGTCGGTTGGTTGGTTGGTTGGTTGGTTGGTTCTTCACTAGGATAGGCCGTTGCGAGGATATTCGTGATAAATCATGCAGTCAAACTCGCTGACATTTTTACTGTTTGCTAAAACACTGAGTTGAAAATTAAAGGGTTTAAATTATCAGAAACAACGCTTCTGTGTGTATTCGTTAGAGGGGTTTTCCTAGAGTTTTCCCCGGGAATGTAGAAGTAGTCCGTCAGTGTTTACGTCACTTCAAGCAAACAATCTCGTGAAAAACTTTTGAACGTCAAACTGTGTCGTTCATACCTTAATTTGTCTGGCCTCTCGTATATAAAAGCCGTATATCGTGTAAACTTCACATTTAAAAAATGTCCACAGGTGATGGTGGAATCGTATCAATCATCATACCTGTCGCATGCTAGTCGTAAAACTGGTTCTGATAATTAACGAGTGGGGGGGATACTCTATTGGCGGAAAATATGTGAAGCGAGCGGATCCTACACTTGATGCAAAGCGTGCAACCATTGCGATCGCCTGTCCGACAAATGAATAATGTTGACCATTCATGTTGAATTTATTCATATATTTATACAAATAAATATACATATCTGCGTTCGTGTTTACACGACATGTCTCATCCAACTAAAAGTCGCCATTCCGAACAACGAAACTTTGACTCAGTAACTGATAAGCATATGTACAAAGACTTCATGGATATTTATCCATTTCAGCCAGAGACAGAAACCTGTACAAACATTGATATAGATTTAACTAGCACTTTAATATCAGGACAGAAAAAGATAGTTCAGTGCATGGTTCTCTTGAGCTTGGCACGTGCATTCTGGAACCACACTTGGGCCACTCTTCTGGGAAGACCCGCCTCTTCTGCGATCATCCCGAGGTCACTTCCGGTTGGGTTGGTGTCAAGGTCGAAGTACTTCTGGAAAACAGCTACCTGGTCCTCGTTGAAGGCTGTTCGGAATCTCTTGGATTTGGGTCGGCAGGTGACACTCTCGTCGTCGGGGTTGAGGACGTGGACTCGGCAAAGTACGCGGCTGTCGTGGATGGCGAAGTCTTCTCCTGTGGAAAGCTGTCTTTGACACATGCTGCATGAGAAACATGCAAGGTGGTACATGTTCTCTCCAGCCGATCTGACCCAATCTCCGGACTCGATGTTACGTAGACAGGAACTACACTTGGTCTCTTGAACGCGGGCGAAGTCTCTCTGACAGAATATGTTACCGTCCCTAACGAAGCAAGAAGAATGTCCACCAAGCGTCACCTGACACACACAGCAACGCAGACAGTGCTCGTGCCACACGTGATTCCCAGCACGTAGATAGTACTGGTCAGTGATCACGTCACAACACGTGAAACACAAGGGGTCAGCGATGTTGAAACTGAGAGCGATGAAGTCTGCGGTCTCTTCCAAGTCTGAAGACAGGAGGTCATATGACATATCCGACATTGTAAAGGTATACAGGAGGAGCTAGAGGAAGACTTATGACGACGATAACGTGACGTGATGCTGAAATGTATGATGGAAAATGATAAGCAGCCATTATTATATGCTAAGTTGACAGTTCAGAGTGAACGCGTATGCTTTGGTGACGCGTGATGACCGCTTTGACACGCTGTGACGTCAGAGCGCGTGACACAGCAACACTTGCTGAGTGATAAGTAATCACATTGTTTTCCTCTGATGGTTAATTGATCACTTGACGATGAAGTGATTTTAAGCTTAGAACTTTCCAGGCTTGGAAGGTGCAGTCAGCCGTATCATAGCCAGCTAACAGTATGTTTACAGAAAGCCGTTTGTGAAAGAATTATCTCATGATTGAAGTATTGACCTGATCTATCCCCAATGGCATCGATAAAACTCAACTGAATGAAAAGTATAGTATCATACACCCTGTCCTTACTGCAGTGAAGTCCCATACATTATGTATATACTACTCAAAAGAAGTTAAAGAACAACCTATTTTTGTATATTACTGCAGTAAAATTGTCATGGCATCACAGATTAAATATTGTTCATGAAATATAAAAAAATACCTCTTCATCGTTATCTTTATTCAGCATGTATATAGGCCATCGGCAACTGAGGTTACATGCACTTACGGTCTTTGAATAGCACATTAACACTATTGTTTCTTAATTGCATTGCATGCTACAAGCATTGTCAGATGTCTAAATTTCAACATACATCAGCATAATATATTTCTGTAAATAGTATTTAGTGATTAGTATTTCTTGTGGAAATCTGCATAAACTTCACAAAGAAGCAAAATGTGGTACTAATTTTATCCATGGTTACAAACTTTACAAAACTTTGCAAAATCTTTCTTATCTTTTCTTATCTTGGTTTTGTTTTTATATTATATATAGTATTGATTGATTACAATGAGCATAATGATAGGTGGTTAATCTAATAGTTCCACATATAACTCAGATTGCCTGTATGTCTATTTACAATTTAGATATTGAAATTATATAATTTCCCCGACAGTACCACCTTACTGTCTGAAAAGCACTTAAGTGACATGAACAAATGATAAAATAATATACAAAACAACTTTCTGTTAAGTATTTTGTGTATCCAGCCCAAACTACATGTATATTTATGGTAAACATTGACATGTAAGTCTAATCATGTATATGATTACAGTGCAATTAGACCATTTATTCGTTCAATGTCACTATTTGCATAAGAAACATACCGTAAAGCAATACAGTATACCTAGACAAGGAGAAATAAACTACAATAATGGCATCGGCACAGAATCACGATTTTCTCAACAGATCCGTGATATGCCAAGACAAAAGACGCCAACTCAATAAAACAGCTTTATTACAAATAAATAGCGACAAATTGTTTTATTGTTTTCTCACACAGAAATCTTCTTAAAATATTGTAGAAATTCAGTGGTAATAAAATGTTTTAGTTGAACACTTGTTATCACATCAATCAGCGGGTAATCAAGTTGTTATACACATATGACTTCTTGCAACGGGGCCTCTGTCAAGGCCTTGATTGTCAATGATTGTTGATGTTTTCATGTTACAATGAAATGTGATCAGCTTGATTAGCCATCATCGGATTACGACACACGCTTATCACTGTGGTGTCAAAGCAAATGCCATCATGACGCTCTCGTTCACTCTGACGTGCCAACCTCACCATATTAACCGAGCAAGTGGACACGATGTTGTATTTTTCTTCTCTTGACTATTTCCACACAAGGCTTCCTCTAGTTCCTTCTACGCAGCTTTAGAATGTCGGACATGTCATATGACCTCCTCTCCTCGGACTTGGAAGAGTCCGCAGACTTCATCGCTCTTAGTTTCAACATCGCTGACCCCTTGTGTTTCACGTGTTGTGACGTCATCACTGACCAATACTATCTACGTGCTGGGGATCACGTGTGGCACGAGCACTGTCTGCGTTGCTGTGTGTGTCAGGTGACGCTTGGTGGACATTCTTCCTGCTTCGTCAAGGACGGAAACATATTCTGTCAGAGAGACTTCACCAACATTCACGAGACCAAGTGTAGCTCCTGTCTACGTCCCATCGAGTCCGGAGATTGGGTCAGATCGGCCGGAGAGAACATGTACCACCTTGCATGTTTCTCATGCAGCATGTGTCAAAGACAACTCTCCACAGGAGAAGACTTCGCCATCCTAGACGACCGCGTACTTTGCCGAGTCCACGTCCTCAACCCCGACGACGAGAGTGTCACCTGTCGACCAAAGTCCAAGAGATTCCGAACAGCCTTCAACGAGGACCAGGTAGCTGTTTTACAGAAGTACTTCGACATTGACATCAACCCAACCGGAAGTGACCTCGGAATGATCGCAGAAGAGGCGGGTCTTCCCAGAAGAGTAGCCCAAGTGTGGTTCCAGAATGCACGAGCTAAACTCAAGAGAACCATGCACTGAACTTTCAAGTCCCTGTTTCAACTAGTGCTCAATATGTGTCCTGACATGACTCCTGGTTATTTGTAATTATAGTAGAAGTCTGTCATATATATTTATTTTATCCATTGCATTCTACATACAAATAAATGATAATGAAATAGCCATTTTGTTTATTTTATGGTATGTCGGTCATTCTTGGTTGCAGACTGTTTCCTGTTTACAGAGCCTGGGCGGATTAGTCTGATGTATAATCAGCCACAACTATTTATCTATTGTACATACAAAGATATAAATGATACATGAAATGTTCACTTCCTTCATGATCTGTCGATCTGACCTCGGGATGATCGCAGAAGAGGCGGGTCTTCCCAGAGGAATGGCCCAAGTGTGGTTCCAGAATGCGCGTGCTAAAGCTCAAGAGAACCATGCACTGAACTTTCGAGTCACTATGTTAGCTACTGCTTCATGTGTATGTTGTGATGAATCCCGGTTATTTGTATTCAATGTAGAAGTCAGCCACATCTAATTATCTATTGATTTTACATACATACAAATCAATGAAACATGATGTATTCCCTTTTTTGTCCGTCTTACCTTGGTAGTTCCCGTGTGCACGTGATACTCACAAAATAACAAACCAGTTAACCTGTTAACCGCAATATATGATAATCAGGTTTTGTAGTTGCCTGTTGATGCATACAAATATATATGTTCTGCTCCAACATGTAGTCTTTGTAAATATTGAATGAAGCCGACAAACAACTATGTGTTGTCCCATTTAGTATCGACTCTGTGATCTGTCAGTAGATTTTTAATTCTCTTTAAACATTAATGTACTTTGTATTTCACACGTCTGTGTGTCTTGTTTTTATGTCATACATATATTTATTGTTTATAAAAAATGTAATCCTGCTAAATAGTCTTCGTCGTGTGGGAGTGAGACAGGTTTCACGCCGCTTTCAGCAATATTCCCGCAATATTACGACAGGGGTCACCAAAAATGGGCTCCGCGTGTCGTATTCGTGTGGGCAATCGACCCAGAGCCCTCGGTGAGTTTGACAATGTTTTTTGTTATTGTATAGGTCATTACCGTGTATCCTGTTTGTATGCCAATTTATATTGCCTTTTAAATATAATTATTTAAAGTTATGGCAACTTTTCTTCCTCTTCACACAAATGCTCAGCTACGTCACAACCAACAACAGTACAACAGCAACGTCAACGTTGCCACCCTCGTCATTCCAACGTTCTGTGTCATAAGAACGCGTTGTCTCCGTCACATTGGCGCCGAACAATGACATATTAAGATATGTCATATGTTATATTATTCATATTGATATACAATGAAATACAAGTGATTCTATGGCATTTGATTGGAAAAAGAAGCAACATTCTTAGTAAACATCCTTATTTGTTTATGTTTTCATGAACTGAAAAAGCATTAGTGCACGCCAACAAACGGACTATCGTTTCTTGATTGGTTATTAATAGAACAGGGGAGCTTGTGTTGCATTATTGTTTTAGAACGAAGTCGCTGATTTCGCATTGTTGAGTTTGTTTGTGTTAATTATTAAATAAGCACTCTTGAAGTTAATTTCGGTGACATATTTACTTTAATTTCTTTTTGTGTTGTTGATGGAGTTGGAGTGGATTGCAGTCTCCACCCAGCTTTGTACGTTTATACTTCACCACACGCAAAAATTGTGAAGTTCATTCTTGAATTAAGCAAAGATCGTGCCCCAACACTGTCATACACCAACATTGATAGGTGAAGCAAAACACTGTTACTGCACTTCAGAGGATTTAGTTCAAGGATTTATTCCAGTCATGGTGTACATCACACCCATTGTGGTGTGTGTGTGTGTGTGTGTGTGTGTGTGTGTGTGTGTGTGTGTGTGTGTGTGTGTGTGTGTGTGTGTGTGTGTGTGTGTGTGTGTGTGTGTGTGTGTGTGTGTGTGTGTGTGTGTGTGTGTGTGTGTGTGTGTGTGTGTGTGTGTGTGAGGGGAGAGGACGTGCGAGGACGCGGGATTAGTGTTGTGACAAGCTCATCACAATGATTAGCACTTACCTGGTTGCTGACATTGTTTTATCAAACGTTACAGCGCTTTCATCACAGTGAGCAATGACTATGTTTACGTTGAAGTTTTCGAATGGATGAACTTTATTCAGAAAAAGAGCGTCCACTTCACAAATATTATATGACATATTCACAGATGGATTGAATAATTAGCCTCCATTGATTTGATTATTTCTCTTTAAATGGGATTTATTAAATTCAGATTGAAATGGTGATAATTTCGTCGTTTCTCTCCCAATTACATGTAGTTTTTTACAGGATGCATAGTTCTTGTTTTTAAATAAACAATAGGATCTATTTGTCACATTCTGGAACATAAGGTGAATGGCTTTGATATTACAATTACCATAGACAGAAAATGAAATCACTTTGAGAACATGATTGTATTTCGTCTACAGCGTTCCGCGGGTTATCAACATATGTTCATCATTAACCTGTCAGAAAGCATTTAACAGTTATACTTACACAGTAGT